CCTCTAACTGAGCAGCCTCAGCGCCGCAGGGAGTGCGAGTTAATCTTTGGGAAGAGCTGATGGCTTTTTCCTTTTCCTCCCCCAGTCGCTGAGAGCCGATGCCTACGATCACTACAGCGCAATCTACAGCCTGCTCTGCGACCGCCTCAAGAGGCACAAGAACCTGCGCATTGCGGCATCTCCGAGTATTCCCCGGACCATGACCTTTCCCACCTCAAACATCCAGGTAGATCCCGCTTGGGAAGCTTCCCTCCAGCCCCGGAAGGCCGGCCCGTCCCTTCCCTGCTGCGCTCGGACTTGTGGTGGCCTCATCCTGGCAGGAGTGTCAAAATTTGTCCGAGAATTTGGAATCCTGGAATTAAGAGCAGTTTGCTCCTGGGCTGTGGGCTCAGCGAACACCCTCCAGTCTGGTGTTAGCGTAGTGAGGGAGGAGGAGGCGGCAGTGCCAGGGTTATTGGTCGGGCACTAGAGTTCTGTGTCATGCTGCTTCCTCAATTCCCACTGCTCTCCAAGAAAGGGATACTTGCTTTGAGAGAGGCCGGATCATAAGGGAAGCAGAAGAGATGGTGACCGTCTCTGAGCAAAAGTGGGGAGGGGAAATAAGACATGCTCGTGAGAATGAAGAATCAACAGGCCTTTGCTGGTTCCAGGGCAGCCTCTCTCTTCCCAGGGGGTTGGGTCTGTGCACCGGGGGTGATCCGGCCATGTTTGTAAAGCGCCTGTAGAGCCGCAGGCGTCATGTCCTGATTGTGATCTCTGCTCAGCAGGCAGAACAGACGGGCAACACCATGAGCATCAACGTGCCCCAAGTCCAGCTCATCAACCCCGAAAACCAAATCGTGGAGGTGAGCTGCTCCCCGTGCTGACCCCTGCGGGTTCTTCTCCTGGGCTGGCACTGAAGGCCCTTGCTTGATCCTCACGTTGTATTTCACATCTCCAACGTTTTGCCTGCCCAGACTGACGGAACGATGAACTTGGACAGTGACGAAGGGGAAGAGCCGTCGCCTGAAGCTCTGGTCCGTTACCTCTCGATGCGAAGGCACACGGTGGGAGTAGCTGACCCTCGGTGAGTACTGGACTCAACTCCCTGAGGGAGGATTGAGGGAACCTGAGGCGGCTGAGTGCGTTGGGCCCGTGGGTGGTTCTCCCCACATCCCTGCTAATTCACCCCCTCTCCCCATGCGATTGCGCAGGACGGAGGTGATGGAAGATCTGCAGAAGCTCCTGCCTGGCTTCCCCCGCGTCACTCCCCAGGCTCCGTTCCTGCAGGTGACGCCCAACGTCAACTTCATGCACAGCGTGCTGCCCAGGCAGGCCCTGCAGCCCACGGGGCAGCTGGAGTACAAGGTACGGACCCACGCTCGCCCCCGCCGTGCCTGGGGTGGGTCTCTGTGCTTGGCCTCACACGGATAACGGCGCTTTCTGCCTCCCAGGAGCAGTCCCTGCTGCAGCCCCCCACCCTGCAGCTGCTGAACGGCATGGGCCCGCTGGGGCGGAGGGCGTCGGATGGCGGAGCCAACATCCAGCTGCATGCCCAGCAGCTGCTGAAACGGCCTCGAGGCCCCTCGCCGCTCGTCACCATGACGCCGGTGAGCAGCTCGGGGGAGGAAGGGAATCGGTGGCTGCTTCCCAGTCACGCCGTCAGGGTGGCAGGCTCGGTGTGTGGCACGCTGGGAGCTCCGCAGGGAGCGTGCCCGCTTGCTCCCAGAGGCTCCCGGCTGATGTAGTAGGGAGAAGTGGAATGTCCACCCTGGGCATCAACGCACATTCTCCCTTCCGTGTGGGTGAATTGTCCTGGTAGCACGAAAGAAGCAGCACCTTGTCAGAGCAGTTGTGCTGGGGGGGGGAGTGTTGGAAGGCGTTTTTGGCCATGTCCTTGTGCTGCAGAGGAGCTGGCCTCGCATCCTTGCGAAAGCTTGTCGGGGAAGGTGGGGTGTGCGCTGCCGGGTGTTCCGCACCAGGCGCTCTGGAACTCGTGGCTGCCCTTCTCTCCGCAGGCTGTCCCAGCTGTCACCCCCGTGGATGAGGAGAGCTCTGACGGGGAGCCGGATCAGGAAGCTGTGCAGAGGTAACTCCCGCTCCGTTAACATTTGCCCTTCCTACTCCAAGAGGCTCACCCCGTGGTCTTCCACTGCTGATTTAAACCACGAGCAACCTCCTCTCAGGCAGCAGTGTTGATTACAGCGAAGGCTCAGCACTTCCCTCGTTCTTGGGGGTGTTGCGGGGGATCCTCCTCGGATGCTCCGCAGTGCTTACGGAGCTGGATCCCCTGAAATGGGTAGCTTTGCTTAGCGTGCACCAGCATGCCAACACTAACCTGCCCAGTGAGCGTGGTGGGATGCAGCCCTCCCCGCTGAGGGGTGCGGGTGGGGAGATCTCATCCGTGGCCTTGGGTGTCACGGCAGCTTTTGGACCAAGACATGCAGCAAACATCCAACTCTGATGCCTTAAACACAGCGAGCTCGCTGGGAAGACGGGGTACCGCTAGCTTCTAACTTTAGCAGTAGGGCTTAATATAGTCTGCTCCGATAGGGAAGGGATTGTGGGGTATCAGGCTGGAGAGTTCTGTTGCCTGTTCCACTCCAATCACGTACCGGGGAGCGGGTGGATACGCTTGTGCCTCCTCAAGCCGTGAAAACACTAACCACGTCCTTGCTAACGCTTTCTTAGGAGCTTTTGCCTTGTTCCTTCTCTGCTAACCAGCTGGTGTGCTCCCTGGGGTGCGTGTGCTTACAGAGGGCTCCCACTTCGGACCTCACACTGGAAAACTCTTCTGGCTTCCCCCAGTTTGTGCAGGCCACCACCTCCAGTAAGGCAGCACTTCCTCAGGGCTGGGCTCGGGAGAAGGGTTCAGACTGTGGGATGCTGCAGGCAGGGGAGTTCTGGGGTGGGAGGAGGCCGTGCTGCAGAGCCTTTGCCGGCTCTTCTTCCGGTGCTCCAGAGCGAAGGGGGATTTGAGCGGTGGGTGTGAGCAGTGGCAGACTGTGCAGAGTGTGTGCTGAGACTCCCTTTGCCTACCTGAGCTGAGAAGAAGTGCCGAGTGGGCGCGTGTGAAAGAACTCACTTCCAGCCCTACCCAGAGCTGAGACGGAGTGCATCTTGTTTCCTGCGTGGCCTTACGCTCTGGCTCTTCTCCACCCTCATCTTTCTGCTCGCTGCCCGTGTTCTGCAGCTTCACAAGCTGCTGGTCATCCACCCAGCCACGATACGGGGAAGGTACACGCTCGTGACCCACCCCAGGCAGGGAGAGATGAGGCCCATAACGGCCCCAGCCAACGTTTCGGATGCTTATTGCTGACTCTTGCCAAGGGGCAAGAGTCAACTCTTCCCTGGATGCCTTAGCTGGGCAGATTTTCACCTCTCCCCTGCTAAACCCAAAGGTTTCAGCGGCGTCGTTAAAGCATTAGCTCAGCCACAAGGGTCTTGACACCCCCACGCAGTGTCCGGCAGGTTGCAGGGCACAGAGGTGTTCAGCTCCCCCTGAGACTCCGGGGACCCGTAGGTGGCCTCGCTGCTCCTGACAGTGCTTGCCCTTGTGTTCTCTGTCCACCCGAGGGCCCAGAAGAAGCCCCATCCGGGTTGTGCGTCAACTCGCCCTCTGCCCCCGCATGTTGCAACATGTCAGTACTCACCAGAGGAGAAGGGTAAATAGCGTTAGCATCAGGGACCGATGCAAATATTTAGCTTCTCTGAACACTCTGTGCAGCCACCACTGAGCAGATTCTGCCCCTCTTCGCCTGACCTTGACAGCAGAGCCTACTCTTTGCTCTGCTCCAGGGAACAGTCGCGTCTCCCTTGAGCTCTGGGAAACGTCCTTCCACCCGCAGTGCTCGCGGCTGGATTGTTCCCTGGAGCTCTGCAATGAAATGATCTTAGCGAACCGCAGCTGCAGAGCTCTTCGGGAAACTTGCCCCGTCTGCATCAAACGGTTCTTAAAGAGCTAATGGCACGGACTTTGGCAGGTTACCACGGCGCTGAGCGCTCCCTCCTCTTCACTTGCTGCCTTCTGCTTCAGCACCTGCCGTAGCGAGCAGAGAGAGGCTTGGGGCAACGACTTCGCGGCTTGCGGCTCTTCTCTGCTTCGCCACTCGCAGGGAGCCTCAGCGGGGAAGGAGCGAAGGGAATTCCCTCTTAGCATCCCTGGGGTCGCCGGCCAAGCGAGCTTTGTCGCTGTAACCGCAGCTGCCCCGGCGCCGCTGGCTCACGAGAGCGGGAGCGGGTGGCAAAGCGGGTGTTCATCCCACCCGGCCTGGAGCGGGCCGAGTGCTGGCCGTCAGGGCTGGGGGCTCTTCTCACACCCCTGCCAAAGCTTTAGGGGTTTTGCAAAGGGGCTCTTGGCCCCAGCGTGGGGGGCGTCAGCTGGTGTAAGGGCCCAGCCCAGCAGCGCTGCCGGGGGAAAGGACCTTCTGGCTGCAGGGATCCTAGCGTAGGTTTGGCCCTGCCCCATTCCCCGCAGCGTGGAACAGGGACTAGATGGCGCACTTGGACAGGGCTGGGCCCTGGCCCTTCCCCATGCTCCACCCACACGGAATTTGCTGGTGGGGGCCCTTGGAGCACCCGGAATCGCTGGTGGGGGGCCCTGGCGCACCCTTCCCAGCGCTCGCAGGATCCCGGGGTAGGTGTGAAGCGCGAGGCCGTCCTGCGAGGCTGCAGCTGGGTGGCAGCTCTGCTCCGCACCCCTTCTCTGGCCAGCTCTTGCTAGCGTTGTCTGTGACTCTTGGCTCTGTGCATGCAGCAGGCTTCCCGTGGGTGGGGGAAGGGGTGGGAGGCAAACCTGCTGTAGCAGAGGGAATCCACCTTGAGGGCAGGCAGTCACCTGGCTGTTCCCAAAGGGAACTACCAGAGTTCCCCTTGAGACGAAACGTGGCTTTCCTGCCGGGAAGAGCAGAGGCTACCCTTCCCTTCCGTGGCTGGCAGCAGCTGAAGCCACACTTGTTCCCTCAGCACTACAGACCCGGTGCCGTGAGAGGCACGGCGGCGTGTCCGTGCTGTGCTTCCCCCCGGGTTGGTTCCGAGCACTGCACAAGCACTCTTCCTTCCCGTTTACGCTGGGTTGTCTAACGCTCCCTGTTTTCGGAGTACTCCCGTCAGTCTCTTCTAAAATGTGCTCCTGCTTGTTGCAGATACTTGGCAAATAGGTCAAAAAGGCACACTCTGGCAATGACCAACCCTACAGCTGAAATCCCTCCAGACTTGCAGAGGCAGCTAGGACAGCAGTCCTTCCGACCCCGGGCTTGGGCTCCACACCTGGTACCCGATCAGCACCGGTGAGTAATGGCACCGGCCGGTCGGGCAGCTTTGCTCCAGGAAACCTGCGGAGATGTCGCCTGCAGCGGAGCACGGAGGACATCCGCTTGGCAGGGAGGGGCGAGGAGGAGCAGGCACAAAGAGCAGACCCACGGAGCAGAGGGTGACCGCGCCGGGGACGCTGCGGCGAACGCAGGCAGCGCAGGGGCAGGATTCGGACGGCTCTTCCCCCTCCAGCCCCGTTTCTGTGGCTGTGGTGGCTGGCCAGAACGGCTGCCTTCGCAGGGGCTGGGACTAAGCTGCTCTGTGGTAACGCTAGGTGTCAAGCTAGCCGTAGATAGTGGATTTCCTACGGAACGTTTTGGGAGGCAGCTGCAGGCAAAAGACTGCACCGAGAGCCATTTACCCCCGAGCTTCAAACCCTCGCTGTTCTGCACCAGAGTTGTGTGTTGTGACTGCACAGTCTCTTTGCAAAGCTCCTCAAGAGGCGTTTCAGCTCTCATCCAAACCCCTGATGGGCACGGTGTGGGGGAAGGAAGCTGGGGTGGGACAAACACCACGGGATCTGGGAGGGAGGGAACCCAACGCAGCGGTGTGGGCTCAGGCACGGAGTCCTTGGTGCAGCGGCAAGCTGGAGATGCTGGTGCCGCGGAGGGAGCTGGGAGCCCGCATTCCCAACCTGGCGGGGCTGGGAATGCCAACCAGCTGCGGAGTTTGCTGCCCGTTGGTCTCGGCTGTTTGGGATAGCAGTCACCTTCCCAGCTGGATTGGCCAGCTCATGCCGGCCTGAGCAAGCACTTTGTGTGGTGGCCAGATACCTGCTGAGCTGAGCATGATGTAATCAGTGCAGAGGGTGAACTCTGAGCAGACCGAGACAGCGCTGGTGCCACGCTGGAACTCCACAGAACAGAGATAACACCCCTCTGCCCTGAGGTTACCCTCGCAGAGAGGTGCGAGGGGGATGGGAGGAGCGGGGCCGGGGGTGGAAGGTTCCTGGGGTCACGGGGAAGCGTGATAGGAAGAGGAGCGCAGCTTGCACAACAACCAGAACGTGCTGCGTCCTGCTCTAAGGGTTGCTGCAAATCGCCGAGGTAAGCGGGTCCCTCACGCACTGCAGGAACGGGTTTCTTACAGGATTGATACACCCTTGCCCTGTAAATAAATGTGCTGGTGTCACCTCTCCTCTGGGGTCCCGGGGCTGTTGTGTTGCATCCCGAGCAGGGGGGTACCTGCTCATCCCAACACGTCGAGGGCCTACCTTCCCTTTCACTGCGACATCCCAGGGAGTTCATCCTCGTGTGCCCAGCACAGGCGGCATCACGTAAATAGACCTGGGTTATGGAGGGCAGGTGGCTCTTCCCTCCGCGCTTGGCGTATCTTGGTCACCTTCTTACGTGGCACCCAGTTTCGGTCAGGGAAACAATGTGAAAGCAGAACCCAGGGACAAGGATGCGCGAGGCCGTACGGTTCTGCCTTGGCCACGTGGGTTTGGGAGCCTCAGCTTGCTCCAGTCGGTAGCTTCTGCCTTCCATCGGTACCACAGGATCGGGATAACGGATGGGATGGCAGCAAAACACCGGGGCACGGCTCTGACCTTGGAGGGAAGCTGCGTGCGAGCCGTAGAAACCAAAGTACGCCCTGTCAAGGCAGACGGAGGGGCGGGAGCTGAACCCGGCGTGCTGGAAGCGATCCAGCATCGGGCACCTCCCGATAAGGGCCAGCCTCTCCCGCAGAAACGCTTCACCTCGCGCAGGGACTTCAGCCAAGTGCGGTGGGGAGCCGAGTGCTTCGCTTGGGTCACAGGGAGCCCTGACTCTGGGTGAAACCAGCTCCTGAACAAAACCTGGGTCCCCCTGACGGCAGAGAAACTCCCTGTGAAGGGAAAGGGCACCTGGGGCATTGGCACAGTCGCCTCCGTGCGGCTGTGGTGGCTTTGCAGATGTAGCCATCCTGACTGCCCTGGGCCAACATCCTGGCAGACAGGCAGCTCCGTGTGCAGGGAGAGAGCTTGGTTTCTGCCCTAGGAAGATTGTCCTGCCATGCAGGGTGGTGTTCCTGCCTCTTTTGTAATTCAGCATATCTCTGCACATGGGCGCCGGCCCCCTTCCCTCCTCAGAGCCTGCGGAGCATGCCAGGCTCCTTTCTCCATGCGCCCCTCCTGTTTTCCGCAGACGTGGGTTGTATGGGAGGCTGGAAGGCTCAGGAGGTGGCTGCTGAAGAGGTGTATTTTAGGTGTGTAGGGTGCTGGATGACTTCCGTAAACCTTTTCCATCTGGGGGATCAGTGCTTCCGTACGGGTGGACCACACGTCGCTGCCCATGCGGCATCTGCTTTGTGGCCAAGTCGTCTCCAACCCTAGAACACCTTTGTCTGCCCAGGCACTCGGATACTCAGTGATCCATCTGCTCCGGTGCCGGTGGCACCGTACTTGTTGATGTAAACCCCGGTTTGTCCGGGGCGAAGGGGGCAGGTGGAGCCCGGCGCTGCTGGTGCAAACGACACGTCTCCGTAGCGCGGTTCGGTTTGTCGCTGGCATGGCTAACCCGCTTCTCCCTCTGTTCAGTTCCATTTACAAGGACTCGAATACTCTGCACCTCCCCACCGAACGCTTCTCCCCGGTTCGCCGCTTCTCTGACGGTGCTGCCAGCATCCAGGCTTTCAAAGCCCACCTGGAGAAGATGGGCAACAACAGTAGCATCAAGCAGTTGCAGCAGGTAAGGGAGGGGGGTGAGGGTCCTCCAAAGAGCCTCTGCAAGGGCTTTTTGCCTCAGCCTTGCTGCTTCGGGAAGCTGCAGGCAGCATCTTGCTGCAGGCTGGGAACCCTGGGGGCTTCCTCTCCCCCTTTTCTGGAGAGCACACCCCGCGCTGCGCTCACGGGTGGGCTGTCCTGCCCACCCACGTGGGTCCCACAGTGGCTGCTTTCCTGTGTTTCCTTCGGCAGCAGAGTTTCGGGGCCATCCCAGGGAAAGGGCAGCTCCTACCTCTGGAGTTCAGAGGGTGATGTGCGTTCTTCCCTGTGCAGCCAGCGCATGTCTCCTCCATGGCTTGAGTGGGATTTGGCCCTGGGATGGGACTTTCCTCTTGCCACA